CACCGATGGCGCCAGTAAGGACGGTTTGCGGGAAGTATGCCACCTATTCGATAATGAGCGGATTCAACCAGAAAACGAAGCAGGACATGCGTACGAAATTGCCTAATTTGAGTAATCCCAGAATCACGAATGCCGCTCCAGTCAAAAACGAGGTCAAGGCATACGCCGCCATGACCGTTGGTACAAGACCTGGGTGGTCATCACCGAGAACGGATCGAATGTTGCTAGCCACTCCTTGGAGGAAAGGCAGGATTTCCACTAACATGCCAGCCAGAGCACCTGGAAAACGCGAGCCACCAAGCGCCACGGCTACCTGGGACGTGATTGTACTGAGGAATGAGTACAGAGCGGGAAAAGAAAAAAATAAACAAGCGGTACCTCGTGATATACATGGATAATGCTTGCAGTTGCAGAGAGCGAAAAGCGCCATCTTCGGTGGGAAAAAGCAGAATTCCACTCGAAACTAGTCAAAGGGGGGGGGGGATCGTCGCGATGACGGGTTTCACAAGCAAACGGGCATACCAGTATCCAGTACGTTAAAGAGTGTTCCCAGGATGACTGCTGGAAGGGCGCGATACAGCCGTACCGGTAGCGTGGAGATGAATCTCGAGGAACGCGACTTGAAGACGTCCATGGTGGAAGAACAAAAGCGGAGGCCCGGGACAGAGTAAAGTAACCGTCCGGCAGTTCGATACACTCGTGTTGCTGCGGACGGAGATAAGTGACAGTGATCTGCTCTCACAGCAGCCATGGGCATTCAGGTCGGTGATTCTGCCACGAACGCCCGCATGCGGGATGACACTACCATTTTGCGAAGAACCCTAGTCATTCGGACTCCGCCTCAGTTTGAAGGACTGGACTTCTCCCGCCGCAACACTGACAGTTATCTGCTCTCACAGCGGCCAGGTGGGGGATTCTGCCACGAATGCCCACATGCGGGATGACACTACCATTTTGACGAAGAACCCTAGCAGTCATTCAGATTCCATCTCAGTTTTCAGGACTGGCCTTCTCCTACCGCAACACTGACAGTGATCTGCTCCCACAGCAGCTATGGGCATTCAGGTCTAGGGATCCTCACCGTAACCGTATCATACGGTATACGGTTACGGTACAGTATGGGTTTTTTTGAACACGAGATGGCGAGCACCCACATGGAAGGGGAGGAGGGTCAACCCAGACTAAGGCAGGTAAGAAACGTTCGAATCCATCATCTGCAACTCACTCACATTCAGTTGGTACTATTTATGGAGAGCCGTATACCGTACAAATACAGGTTTACGGGTTTGGGAACCCGGCCCGTATACCGTCCCGTAAGGCAGGGAAAATCACACCGGTGCGAATTCATCTTACTCATTCGCACTGCGTCTCGGTTTGATTGGCCTTCTCCCGACACGGCACTGAACATGATCTGCCCTGGCATTCAAGTCGGTGATTCTGCCGCGCCCGGTGATAAACAGTACACTGCGTTCCGGCCCCGTGTACCCGAACGTTGGCTACATGTGTCTACATTTTCTTATGTGACGTAAACGGCCTGAAAAATGCTGAGATATGTTAACTGCCGAAAGCCGGTGAAATGATAAGATGATCTGCCATATTCTTTGCATGAAGAGAGCAGCTATCAGCTCCCAACATTTAATCTGGAATATGTCTCGACAGATCTCGCCTTTTGCGCGAAACCTAAAATAGAATCACAAAGAACAAAGAAAGTGTGGCGTGTTGTACTTGCAACTGCCCTGGCTTTTGCCTCCTGTGTGATCGCTTTAGTTTCAAATAGCTGCTACTTATTTCTTACTCAGAACATCAACGGGGAGGAAACTAAACCGATCACCGGGCGCGGCAGAATCACCGACTTGAATGCCAGGGCAGATCATGTTCAGTGCCGTGTCGGGAGAAGGCCAATCAAACCGAGACGCAGTGCGAATGAGTAAGATGAATTCGCACCGGTGTGATTTTCCCTGCCTTACGGGACGGTATACGGGCCGGGTTCCCAAACCCGTAAACCTGTATTTGTACGGTATACGGCTCTCCATAAATAGTACCAACTGAATGTGAGTGAGTTGCAGATGATGGATTCGAACGTTTCTTACCTGCCTTAGTCTGGGTTGACCCTCCTCCCCTTCCATGTGGGTGCTCGCCATCTCGTGTTCAAAAAAACCCATACTGTACCGTAACCGTATACCGTATGATACGGTTACGGTGAGGATCCCTAGACCTGAATGCCCATAGCTGCTGTGGGAGCAGATCACTGTCAGTGTTGCGGTAGGAGAAGGCCAGTCCTGCAAACTGAGACGAATGCTATTTAATTTCTAGCACAACGCACGTTCGTGGCAGAATCACCGACATGAATGCCCATGGCTGCTGTGAGAGTAAATCATTGTCAGTGCTGCGGCGGGAGAAGGTCAGTGCTGGAAATTGAGACGGAGTCCGAATGACTAGGGTTCTTCGTCAAAATGGTAGTGTCGTCTCGCATGCGGGCGTTCGTGGCAGAATCCCCAACCTGCTGTGAGGGCAGATCACTGTCGGTGCTGCGGCGGGAGAAGGCAGTCCTGCAAACTGAGACGGAATCCGGATGACTAGGGTTCTTCGTCTCAATGGTAGTGGCTCCAAATCGCTGATGTTGTATGCCGCCCCGCATGCGGGCGTTTAACTGGGCGTTTAATTACTGATCTTTATCTAACAATTTGATAGCTATGCTTCAAGATGTGGCCAACTGGCAGTGGTACTTGTCAAGCACAAGCATCGTTAATATTCCTACTGTTGATAGTAAATATCTGCGTGGTATCCAGAGGGTGGGTTAGAAGATAAGGTAGAAGACGAAGGCGGGGCGGTGGTCGGTGAGATCAGATTAGATTTATTTTGGGTGGATGAAGAGCCGGGATACTTCCTGGAAGCCGCTGTTCATGAGTTGGACCGTGCCGTGTGATGCTACCTACATAGCTACCTTCGGCTGTTCGAACTCGGTAAATGTACTCTATTGCACCAGATGGGCTTACCAAAAGCTCAGGCAATCCCCCATCTCAACGGCATTACTACACGCTCATATATATAGTCAGTCTAATGTCCTCCAGCTTCTTAAGGGACTTGCTAGTGCCCCCTCATCATTCAGCTCTCATTTCCCTCCTCAAACATCGATGACACCGTCCTACACCCCTTCCCACAGCGATTTCGTCGTAGAGTTTAAACCAGGCAATTTCGCCTCGTTTCTCAACGCGTCCAGAGTGAAACAGTCTTCCGACCTGCCCCTGCAACGGCTAACGAGGACCACCAGGATTTTGCTCAAGGTGACACCTTGGCAGTATTGACGAACACAATACGAAGCGAAAAAAGCTACGCCTCACTGCACTGCGGAAGAGGATCGCAAGACATCATTGAATTTAATTCGGATCTCGTATACGGCAGGTGTTTTTTTTTTCAATCGATCGCTCTCACTGACTGGTATTGTCCAGCCAACCATTCTTGCGAGCCCAATGTCGCCGTCGATCTCTCGTCTGCCGACCCCGCCAATTGGCATGTCCGTGCATTGAAGAACGTAGAGGCGGGGAGCCCTAGTAAGAACCCTTATCCTACTCGACTACCTGGGCGTGTACGACTGATGCGACCACTCTCAGTCACTTGGTTTTATCCCAGCACAGAGTGGGAAATGGTGCAGCCATTTGAATGCGAGTGCGGTGCAAAGGTCTGTTGCGTATCCTTTATGTCGATGATCCTGCATTGACTCTATAGAAAAGTCCTGCTTGGGATTCATCCAGGGTGCTAAGTATCTCAGGCGCGAGGAGGTGGCTGGAAGAGGGTGGATTAACTCATGGATCGAGGAATTGATGGACGAAAGGGAGAAGATGTAGAATATTTATTAAGTGTAGGTGGCATGGTTTGGACTTCGCTGTACACGATGCCGTCGAGATCACGCCCCCATTCCGCTTGAAATTGTTGCAAGGCCGTTCCGAAGTAGTCTCCCGTAGTCAGACCAGTATCAATTTTTTTTCTTTTTTTTTTGAGTGGGGAAAAAAAACTTGATTATGGTCTGATTGCGTTCGCGCATCCGATACCGACGGTCGAGGTTCGGCAACCGCCGAGCTGAATCGGGCAATGATTCCCCGATTGGGAATCCTGACCGTACACGTGACATTTGCCATCACTCGTCGCAGCGCGTTTGACGCCGGGCCAAGTCGCGTTGTTCTTGCCCGCTGCTAGATGGATGGCGACGAAGACGGGTCCCAATGGGCTGTCCCAATGGGTTGTCCCATTCACACCACACCATCGAAACACTTCCAGCTCCTCCATCAATGGTCGGACAGAGTGACGGAATCACGGCGATGGCATTCATGACAATTATAGTCAAGAAAAGAAACCCTGTCTTGCCAGATCCGGTCGGGTTAACGGCCACCAGGTCCACCTTGTCGAGAACTTTACAAATTCCATCCATTTGGTAGGTGTGCGGCTCAAAAGTCGGGAGGGCGGCGAGTAGGATCTTTCGGACCAGAGTAATACCCTCGGGAGATGAAAAAGCAAAGGCATGGGCATAAGCAGCATTCAAGAGCAAGAAAACCGTCTGAAGAAGCCATGCCGACGCCATTGGCGCGCGGATGTCGTGGGCGCGTCTGAGCGTATGTGGTGTTGTTTGCGAGTCACGTGTTATTGATAACTCAGACCATCAAGGAAATCCAGACTAGTTCCGAAGCCGATTTATAACGACCATCTACTTGTTTTTCTATTTATCAAACCTCCTCTGCATCGGGTACGAGTTTTGTTATGGGGTGATGCAGCGCCTTCACTGCGCGAATGGAAGAAAAGAGATTAAAATAAAATAAAAGGCAATCGAGATTCGTGTGACATCTTCCCGAATCGAACGGGGGAGCCCTGCGTAAGGGCATCCGACTAGCTAACGGTAATCAGGTGCGCACCGTGCGCTATCAAGCCTTCACCCTACTCGTTTGCGCTGGGGGTTCTGCGATTAAGGACGCTCGATGTTGACTGGAAAAAGAGAGGAACTTTACGCACGACTTGACCCCGAGTTGAACGGGGGATCACTGCACACATTATCCTCAAACAATATGAAAAGCAGGTGCGCACCGTGCGCTATCAAGTCTTTTCCTTACTCATTCGCCGTGTAGTTTCTGCGAATAATTTGGACGCTGATGGCTGAAACCAGTGAAGCAGCGAGGAAGTCTACCCAAGACTTGACTTGCTTGACTCCCAGTCGAAAGGGACTTCCTGCATAATTTCGTTCAGGCGTGATGAAAGACAGGTAGACACCGTGCGCTATCAAGTCCCCTCACGTAGCGGTGTTATACGAGGTCGATTGGATCATCGTAAGCAGGTGCGCACCGTGCGCAGTCAAGCCTTCTCCCTACCCATTTGCGGTGGGGTTTCTGCGATTGATTTGGCTCGACGTTGGGTGGAAAAAGGAAATCATCAAGAAGATTCTATGACTTGACCCCGGGTCGAACGGGGACTCCCAGCGTAAACGTGTCTCACAATATCAATAATCGCAAGCACGTGCGCACCGTGCGCTATCAAGTCTCCTCCTTACACAGTCAGGTTGGGTTTCTAGGTTTATGCTTCTGGCGCGGCGAGGGTTGGAATGTGAAAGCCCAGTTATATTATAATGTCCTCTTGAATGCAGCGGTAATATGTTGTAACCCTACCTACGAGTGCGACCAGTATTAGTGGAGCGAGCCCTTATGAATTCGACCAGTGAAGCCAGTCGTTGAAGTTCGAGTAGGGCACGGTTTCGCCGGTGGCCGTCCACTTGACAATAGGATCCCACCACTGCGAGATCACATCGTTGACGCTGCTGCAATCCCAGAATCAGCACCCTCCTTCTAAGTAAATTTATGATAAGTAGAGAGAACGCACCTGGGCCATTCGGTGACACCGGCGGCGGACATGGAACCGTAGATGAAGTCGATATAGTTCTGCTGCGTCATCGGGCAGCCGGTCGCGCTGCAGGAGCCAACGATGCTCGACCAGATCTAGAACTTATGTTCAGTATTAAACTTCGAATTGAGGAGGAAAATGACGGACGGCGCCGGAGAGGTTAGGGATGGAGGAGGCGGCGAGGACGCTGGGGTTCTGGCATTGGTTGAGGGTGACTACGCTCGTGGTCTGATAGTGAAATTAATATTATGTTGGTTAGAGTAAAGCGGATAGAAGGGAGGGAGGGACGCACACCCTGGCAGGTGGCCGCGGCAACGCAGGCGGCGTGGCTCCAGATGCTCGTGCCGTTCGCCTTCAGGCACGCAAACGTCTGAGGTCCCAGATCGTCAGCCGCAAGTATGATTAGGAAAGGCGGCCACGAGACGTACGACGGACGCGCACGCAGGGCTGTAATCGAGCGTGTTGTCGTAGATCCCGACGTACTTCTCGTACTGAACGCAGGTTTCCGGGTTCGGGCTCGGAGTGACCCGAGCAATGAGCGCAGAAGAGGCCGCTGTGTGCAGGAGCACGGCGGCAAGGAAAGTGTATGTCAGACGCATAGTAGTAAGAAACTTGTAAAGAGTGTGGGCGGCCGTTGTGAACCTGGATTCTGCCGCTGATAGTTCGCGTCTTTAAGTATCTGCTCCCCACGGGCTGACCACGCCGCACGCGATAATTGAATTGCGTGTAGATCATGTTTCAGTCATTGCTGGCTGACAACTGTTGCCGTGCCGTCGTTTGGTTTTTTCATACGGTATGGGCTGCACAATATGGCGAAGAGGCTGCGAAGAGCAGCATTTGGTTAGAGCACAACTGGAAGAAGAAGAATAAGGGGATGGACTTGGACAACGTTGCAGCATTGGTGGTGAGAGCAAGGAGGCAAGGTGAGGAGAAATCTCGGATCTACAACAATTTCAAATCGTGATCCCTCGAATCGTTGAACAGTCACCTACAGTCGCGCGTTCGGCGGTAAATAGCCGCAGCAGTGGCATGTGCCATGCGGCCTCGCGATGACCTCACAAAACCTCCTATGCAGCTTCGGCTCGGGAAACCTAGCCGAACCCGCGGCTATCAATCAACCCGCTGAACGCAGTGAGTTCTAAATTTAGACGTACGGCCGGGCCGATCCGGTTCTCGAACGGTCGCTATCCGGCGCATTTACTCGTCGATTTCGTCAATGAGTGGTGCCAGATAGCTTAGAAAATCTTCTTCTTTCGGCGTCTTCGAGTCTGACATCTGCCAGGAGACTATTGAGCCATGGGTCAACCCCAACCCCCCGAATAAACCCCAATTCAAACTTGAACTATACCAACTTCAGTGGATGCTTCCATCGGAATTCAATAGAGGCTAGTACTGTCTGAGGACCAGTGGCAGCTCGACTGGAATGCGTCAGTTGGGCTTCGAGTGCTCGTACCATTTCTTTAGATGGCATCGGGCGTCCAAATTGATCGCAGAAAACCCACCACAAATGAGTAGGGAGAAGACTTGATGACGCACGGTGCGCACCGACCAGATAAGACGAAGTCATCGCATAGGAGGCCCCCGTTCGACTCGGGTTCAAGTCATGTCTCAGCTCTTCATCTTGTTTTTGCGCCGTTGCATCCTTATCGTCAACATAAATTCAACCCCACATGATCAGGTAGGAGACTTGATAGCGCAATGTGCGCATCTGCTTTCTGTATTTGCCATGAACGTCTGCACTGACGGCTCCCCCGTTCGACTCGTTGTCGAGTCAAGACTCATGAGAAAACCTCGTATCGCTTCTTCTCTTTTTCCAGCCAGCGTCACCACCCAAATTAATAGCAGAAATCCCATCGCAAATGACTGGGGATAAAACTTGATAGCGCACGGTGAGCATCCGCTGACTATGCGCTCTATTTCCTGTGCGATCGTTTATGCAGGGCTCCCCCGTTCGACTCGAGGTCGAGTCATAATATCTTGGAGCTCTTGTTTTTCGTTGCCTCGAACGCCGACAGTCCAAATGAGCTGCGTAACTTTAACCGAAAAAGTGTAGGGAGGAGACTTGATAGCGCACGGTGCCCCCTTGCCAAGTATTATACAAGAGAAGATAAAAATTATGCAGGAGGCTCCCGTTCGACTCGGGATCAAGTCTTGTTTAGGATATTTTTGGGTTGGTCACTGATCAGTGATGTGCAACTACCCTGCATCCATCAGGATTAATTCAACCACCATGAGTAGGTAGGACGTCTTGATAGCGCACGGTGCGCACTGAAGAAAAATTAATCACGGAGTCCCCGTTCGATTCGGGGTCAAGTCTCCGGTGTCCGTGCCTTTTTTTTCGTTCTCGCTTTTGGTCCGCTTGCTGGTCTGTGGAGTACGTTAGTAAATGCCGGCTTTTGAGTTACGGTATAAAAAAATGAACCATTTTGCACCATACACGACCTGACCCCGGATCGAACGGGGACCTCCTCTGCATGTATCAATAGCAACACCTTGGACGAAGCAGCGGTGTACACCATGTGCTATCAGGTCTTTCTGCTCAAGTGCTGATGTCGGATAGGTCGAAGAATGATCGTCAGACCCATGCAGGGGACTGTTTTAAAGATATGGTTGTGATTTATATAAAGTTGGATCAATGATACGCTGGCTTGGGCTTATTTTGGTAAAATCATCTCTTGTAAAAAATCACAGAATGAATTTAACAAACTTGACTGAGTACACATGCCGGATCACAACTGTGTGAAGTTCTGTAAGTAAATCCGCTGGGGGAAAAAAGCATGCTGGAGAAAACTAGTACTATTATGGGGAGCCTCCTCGCATAAAACACTCCTCCAGTCTCCATGCCCTCGATCACGCTTACGGGCCTGACTCTCCACAAACGCCCCCAGCTCACAGCTCCGCTTGTCCTCTCCCTCTCTCCTTTCCCGTATCCAGATTGTGCAGGGACAAGACTTGATAGCGGACAGTGTGCAATCTTTATCATGCGTAAGGCGGACAACTTTACGCAGCAAGTCCCTGTTCAAGTCATCAGGACGGTGTATTCGCATCTTTCTTCACCCTCGTATCTGCAAATATCCTGCATATTTCAATAGCATAGATTTGACCGCAAAACAGGTCAAGACGGAACTTGATAGCGCACGGTGCGCAACTGCTTCTCATGCGCCAGAGTTTCTTGACGCGCGGTCAGGAGGTCCCCGTTTGACTCGGGGTCAAGGCATGGGAAATGGGTATCTCTTTTTTTTAGGTAATCGAGTTTCCAAACAAGCTGCATAAATTCCACCTAAAAAGCGTGGGGCAGAGAACTGACAGCGTACGGTGCGCACCTGCTTGTTGTGCCCATTGCTCGCATGCATGCCCGGTCGATATTTATGCAGGAGGGCCTCATTCATGATTCAACTTGGTGTCGACTCGTCGTGTTCGCGTCGAGTTGCATTTTTCCTTTTCCTTTAGTTTGGCACTGGGAACTTCGAAAAATACCAGTACATCCATGGGCCGAAGAGGCAGATGAGCCGGGGCCAGAGGGGCGATATGAATCCGGAAAATGCCGCGATGTCGGTTGGTTCAGGTGGACCACGCGAGTATAATATACTCCCGACTGGCACAGTACCACCAAGATGCATGCTCCTTTCCTTATCTTTACCTGACTATTGGGAAGGAGATACCACCGGGGCTTCTATTACATACACCACGTAGTACAATCGTATCTATATGATACCCAAGTTTGATTCAAGCCGCTACGACAACATGCAAGTTGCGAAGCTCTTTCCCAACAATCGAATCTAGACCGGCTCATCTTTCATGTCACCGGATTCATGCATGGAGTTGGTTCCCGGCACGCGAGGTAAATTGACGCGTGTGCTCGAAGGACCGTAGCTTCGCATCAGAATGCCAGAGTTGAGATTCGAGCGGGCTTTCCAGGTACTCTCAGGGCGTGCGAGGCCGAACGAGACGCGCGCGATGATCAGGGTAGGAGCCAGTCCCTGCGAGCAAATAGTACCAGTGATGTTTAAGGAGTGGGTTATGAGGCTTACCGTCACCTGGGCCAGGACCGCCTGGGGGTACCCGTCGTTGGCAGAAGCACGGATAAGGAATGGAATGAAGATGATGAGGACGGCGCAGTAGAGCCCGGCGGACTCGACAATGATCTCAATAACTCGTCCGTACCCCCGTGCTCGCCCGTCCGTCATTGTGAGAATACGGAGGATGATAAGCAGTGTCGCTATGAGGGTAGTGACCAGCGAGAGAATAAAATATGGTGTCGCGAAGTCGGCGAATGTCTCTCTGTTGAGGTCTGGGTGGAGAATGAATTGGGCCTCTGTGGCGATGGTCAAGAATCCGAGGACTAGGGGATGGATGTTTATCAATGCGGGAGCCCTGATCAGTGACAATGAATCATTCACCTGCCCCGGAGATCGCGCAAAGGGTGGGAATGATAACGATTTTCCAGTTTCGGTTCCAGACGACCCAGCACCTCCAAATCTGTGAAGACGTGAGAAAGATCCGAAGAATGGGATATATCACACCAGAACACAATCCGCAACGAGCGTGTTTGCAGGGAACATAACCCCCGGGACAACGACCAGCCATAGTGGGTTTACGAGAAGGTAAGTCAGCGTGGACTCGGCCGTATCTCCGTGGTCGAT